GAAACCTAAATTAAAAGTGGTGAAACGTGTGGTAAGTATACTTACCACGGCCTTCAAAAGGGTTAAAGTCGCTTTTTAAGTTCTAAGCTAAAGAAAGTAGAAAACTTTTAAATTGTCTTTAAAAGGGATTTTAATCTATTTTATTACCAATTGGATATTAAAATTGTTACCTTAAATTCAGTTGCAAACGTACTAAAATTAATTTGAAAAATATAATAGTGGCCAATTTCATTTATTTGTACGAGTTTTAATTCATTTTCAATTATTCTGAATTTCTTATTCTGCATTCCGAGATTAAAACAATACTTTATTATAGTGTTTTATAATATTATCAGTGCTTTTTTCACATTTTAATTTTTTGGGAACTTTGTTTCTGTTTTGTTTTGTCGCACTGTACAAAACAAATTAATCTACTTTTTATAAATATTATTTATAGGTGTTGTCAACAAAATACTTTCTTCGAAGGCATTCCTTCCACTAAGTCGTATAAGTTATAACATTTACATAGTGCACCCTTTATATTTGATATTTAGGGATGCTATTAATGCTGAAAGATATTACATGGATAGAATTTCCCAAGTAAGTTTGCTTTATATTCTTGCACCAGAAAATGTGTTCAGCATGGTTTTTAAAATCTCTTTCTCCAAGGAAAATAAAAAAGCTACAATTTAAGTCACACTTGAAGGAAAATATAATTTAAACTGTATTCTCGCTGTGAGAATTTTCTGGGCTGTAGAACGGACAAATAACTGAAATATTTTGAAGTTAAACTTTTTGAAAAACACCAATTTTTTGACATTTTTCCACATTCCAGATGAAAATTATCAAAACCATATCATGTTCTCTTTTTTTTGTAATTTCTTATGAGTTCAGCTCATGAATCAAGTTGTTAAATATTAAAAAATTATACCACAAACGCTTCTCAATTTTTTTTTCAGAATTGTGGCTTTTTTTCCATATTGACATTATAGCTTTTATATATATANACCTCGCTATATTGGACAAATAGCGATATTCTCTGGAAATTGTGGCTCTTGGACGACCTTGCCCAGGCATTCTCTCGATGAATCCGGAGTCCTGAAACTGTTTCCAAAAGTTTAATATGACGCTGGGTGTTAAATTGCACTCTCTAGAAATCTGAGATTGACTTGCTTTTAGCCTCCCCTCAACCTCTTTCCATCATCTGAAAGTTCGAGGTTGCTCATTTTTACTGTTACAATTTGAATTTAACCTATTGCTGCAAAGTAACTCCGAGAAATTCTTGGATGTGCGCTTGCGAACGAAATGTGTATTAACTTACGCACACTTATAAAGCCTGTTTCTTTACTGGCTTCTCCTACTTACGCATGTACGATTACGCATTTGATGTACAAGATTTGTATTCTTGTCTAGAAACAGTGGTTTTACATTCAGTTCAGTTCCTCTTATGAAATTCGATAAAATATGCAAATTCTCTTAATTTATTTCACCAGTGTATTATACAAATACAACATTTGGTGCGTTACACTTTTGACACTGCCAATTGTAATACCTGTGACAATATTCCAGGGCCTTTACTATGTTTAATATAAATGCAATATTTTGGTGAGTTGATCTTGGAACACTGGCAATTATTATTCTTCTGAAAATGTTCCAGGACCTATTCCAGAAGAAAATAAGTATTTTTGAACACTCTATGCTGAGAAAATCAATCAATAAGCTTGTAACTTGTATCGATTACTTAAGTTGTCATTTTTAACAATCGCATAAAATTGCGTAAAACTAGAGTAAATATTTATGGAGATATGGACATTTTTATATAATGTAGTAACTTAATTACTTAAGTTACTTAATTACTTAATTACTTAGATTACTTAAGTTGTCATTTTTAACAATCGCATAAAATTGCGTAAAACTAGAGTAAATATTTATGGAGATATGGACATTTTTATATAATGTAGTAAATCGTATTTGGGAACCAATAAAAAGGTTTGAATTGAATATCTTGAAAATTTAAAACGTTTCAAGTAATTTTCTAAGTAGTTTTTCTATTTTTTTAAAGAAAGCTCATAACGATCAGGGGTTTCCCAAAATTGGGGATCATTACCCAATTTTGATATGTAAAAGTATGTTTTCTTTCCTTATACCATCACATATCGGTTTCCGGACTATTATTGTAAGGTATGATCATTTGTTATTAATTTTGCATTATGATACGAAATGAAATTTATGGAAAACCCCTGATCATTTTGAACATTGCTTTAAAAAGTGCAAGAACTACTTTGAAAATAGCATGAAACTTTTAAAATTTTTAGGATATTCAAATCTAACTTTTTTCATTAGCTCGCAAATGCGATTCACTACAAAATAAAGAAAAAAAAATTCTAAATAAAGTCTTATGATCTCACTTTATAGAATGATTTATTAGATAAATAAAAGTTTCAAATTTATAGGCACTAACTTTTTTAAAATTATGTATTTTGGTTTTTAAAAAAAAAATATCAGTAAAAGCTATTTCATTGCTTATTATTTATTTTTTATGAGTTACTCATAAATTAACTCATAAAAAATATTTATTTAAGATAATAATAGGACATCGTACAAGACTGAATTCTTATCTTTATATGATTTATTAGTTCAATTTATTCAAAACGATTAACTCGGACTTCATATTGTTCCCATATTTATAAATTGTATTTTTTTTTCTTTTTCAGATTGGAGAATTCATATTTTTTTTTCTATTCTCAATATTCGCGGGCTTCCTCATGTACATCACAATAGAAATTCCTTTTAATAAAATTATAAGTCTATTGACGAAAAATTTTAGAGTTTCAACACCACACAATGGCAGAAGGGAAGAACCTTTCAATAAAATTTATGATCCATTAAAGGAAAAAGCTAAAGGTTCAAAACCATCCAATGGCCCACTGGAGGAACCTTTCAATGAAACTAATGATCCATTGAAGGAAAGAGCTACAAGTTCAACACCGCCCTATGCGAGAGCTCAAATCGGAAACTGGTTAGGGTATTAAATTAAAAATAGAGCATAAAATCACTAATGTACAACCATTTTAATTTCTGTATTGCAAATATTCAGCTCAGAAAAAAAAACTAAAAAGCATCCGTTAATTCTCTAAACGGGTGAAAAATTTTATTAAAATAAAATTTTTCAAAATAAAATACTTCATGATGTTAGAACAGTTTTAACATTACGAAATGACATTTTTTGTAAATATATGCTTTCTTTATACATTTACATTGGCTAATGGCTGACTTAAAAAATTTACCTTGAATATTGGCATAGAATTTCTATGATTGTAGATTTATTACAAAAAGATTATATAAGACGCAAAACACACTATAAAATAATGTACTTTTAGAGAAATTCAAACCAATGCCACATAAAAGTTGTTTTTCCTTCAAACCTGATTTAAATCGTCCGTTTGTTGTCAATAGCGACAAGACGTTTTTTTGTGCGATGTTGTGAGTGTAAAAGAAAGAGACCTTGTTGCCTTCAGCAACTACAATATAGAAGTAAGTCAGCTTTGTGGTGGACTATGTAGTTTAAGAGTTTTATGCTGGACCAGAGATATATGTAGATACACAGAAGAAGAAAACTTTGCAGGAATGGAATTCGACAAAAATTTGTTTGGCCTCTTTGTAAAAATACGATTCGAAATGCATTAAACATTTATCAACTACTTGATTGATGCAACTTCTTTTCGTATTCTTCTTTCCTTTTATTTTTCTCAAATATTAGAAATTTAAATAGTAATAAAACAAGTTATTTTTACATTTTAAATTTTTCAATGTTGCGAATACTCTAAAATAGTAAATGAAGTCATTTGCAAAGTAAAATGCAAAATTTCATAATGCGTCACTTAACCTATTTTAATGATGGGTAAAAAGTATCACTACTTTTCACCCATCAGAATGCGATTTATCACTTTCAGTGACTTCATACTTTTTTTCAGCTTTGCAACCCAGTATCTCTTAGTTAAATCAATTGCAAAAATCACGTTTTGTTTACCAATTTGGTTCGAATTAACCTCAT